GCTTCCCGCCCCAGCCTGCGCAGGCTGGGCTGGTCGAAGTCTTCACTGGGGTCCGCTGGTCTGCCTTCTTTTTGACGATGCAGACGTCACTCAGCTTACCCTCGCTGTCACTGTCGGCCCCCTGGTGGTGAACGCGCAGCTCCGTCGCTGCCAAACGCTGACGCACCTCTCGGGTCGATTTGTCGGCTGCTTCCGCGGCGATGGCCTCGTCGTAGGCCGTTGCCCAGGTCAGCTCCTTTCTAGCGAACAGGCTCTGCTGCAGCCGGTCGTCCCTCATACCGCACACGAGCCGGTCTCGGAGGGCCTCTTCCACATTCGCGAAGTTGCAGGGCCTTGCCGCCTTTCGTAGGGCAGCCACAAACTCCGCCACCGACTCGCTGGCCGCCTGACCCCTCTTGTAGAAGGCATGCCGGCACGCAATCTCCGATGGCTTCGGGGAGAAATGTGCCTGCAGCTTCTCGGTCAGGTCCTTGTACGAGACGGTCGAGATGTCCGCTGGTGCCACCAGGGACCGGGCGATGTCGAACACGCTCTTTCCGCAAGAGCTCAGGAGCGTCGCCCGCTTCTTCTCCTCCGTCGTGATGTCGGAGGCTTCGAGGTGGAACCCGAACCTTGACAGGTAGGAGTCCCAGTCCTCGGTCGCTGGTTCGAAGGCCTCGAACTTCGGGCTATTGGCCATCGTTGCAATCGCTGCCACCGGCTCTGGTGGTGCCCGTTGCTGACTGGCCACGGCGAGCTGCTGCTCTTCGTTGTCCGTCGTGGGTCTGGATGTAGCGGGGCTGCCTACCCGCACTAGCATCCCACCTTCGTCGCCAATTGTTAAGTCCGGCGCTTAACAATGAGTCGGAGAGTGATTTCAGTAAAAGACTCAAGTTTATTCAGCTCTTTCTTCACTTCTTCGACACGGTACAACATCTGATAGCCCGAACAGTTTGCCCATTGAAACTGCCCGGTATTTAAACATTCCCGGCTAACATAGCCACTCCCACTATACACATAACAACCTATCAGGTTGAGCGCATACGGACCAATCACAAACGTTCCCGCTTGCAGCTTGCTTGAATGTGATTGGGTCGTGAGTCTTGGACTAGAATCCTCTGTCCAAGACGAAGCTTAACATTGCTTCCCTATGTGATGATTCACATAAAACCTCCTGTACTCATGGCAGCTATGAATACATTACACTCTTCCAGAGGTTTCTGTAAGATTATTGGCCATTTTTTTCTGTCTAGAAGATATTATCACAGATGCTTGGTTTCACAGTTCTCAAAACTGTGAATTTGTGTCTGCAGAGATCACATGGCTCTTCGCAGCAAAAATGCTATAAAATAAACATACAGAATTAAGAAAAAGACCTTAATCCCATCATTCCTTTGCAAAACTGTGTACACAGAATCAACCCCTGAAGTGAATAGAATAGAAGATTGTTGAGAGTGGAACAGATCTGCAATAAGAAGCTAAGTGTGAGGAGGGAGAGGTAAGCAGTAAAAATGAAAGTGAAACTTTTGGAGCAGAATACTCCTCAAGTTTTTGGATCTTTGTGTGTATAGCTTGAGGTTTATCATATTCTTCTTCTTTCCATGGAGGAGAAAAGCCTATAATGCCAGCAAGCCATAAAAGAGACCCAGTTTGGGAATATTTAAATGAAGTTCCTCTACATATGGGTAAGTCAGGCATGAGTGCAAAATGCAAACACTGCAACAAAGAAATGCAGAGCCTAGTGGCCGGAATGAAACAACAAGATCATGAGAAGTGCTGTGATGACAATGACAAAAGGAACATGTTTGAACAAGCAGGATCTTCAGGTTGGTAAACGTTTTGATTTCATCATATTTGTTAAAGACTGTCTTGATGAGCTATCATGTTGGAGATGATTCTGTTTGTTATTATTACTGCATGCCCAGATTCCCTGGAGGCATTTTATTGTCATTTTGATACAGTTGGTTTTTTTAACTTGAATGCTTAGCTCATAAATGATCTATAAAGCAACTTTTTCTTCCCACCACTGGCTTTATAACTGTCCCTTTACAAGCAGAAGGCTTCAGAGTCAAACTTGCTCCAGCTCTATGGAATTTTTTAGAGAGTCCCCAGATCAGTTTCCTATTACTATTACTACCTTCCTTAATAATATGAACACCAGCCAACTAGCAGGACAAGCCAACTAAGCTAACAAGCAGAGATAAGAGAAAAAATACTAAAAATAAAACCCTCCTCAAAGCAGAGTGCAGCAGTCTTATTTAGGTACTGCCCTCCTGATGCGATTGCTGAAGTACTTTTATCAGTCGACAATACCAAAGCTCAGAAAAGCTTTTACTTTGACCAGAATGAATTCTTTTCCATTGGAGATCTTGGAGGGCAGATATAAAAAAGTGTCATATGCAAATAGAATATGTAGATGCTCATCTGATAAAGTCAAAACTATTGGGCATATGATTATGGAGTGTCCTATATTTAATAATTTGAGGGCCAGTTTAATTACTCCTTTACTCCAAATGATGGAAAGTTCTAATGAGGCACCTCATAGTACAACGGCATACATAACGTGGTTATTACCAGATACAAATGATTCTGTTACTCTGTCTGTGGTAAAATTGTTAGGGGCAATAATTGAATAGCAGAAGAATAGCAATTAAGGGATTATTTTATTTCTTTTATTTTCTGCTCAAGCCTATATCTGTATGAGCAGTGACAGACAGACAGATAGATGATAGATAATAGATAGGGTTGTTATGAAGAAATAAAGAGTTGAAACAAGGAAATATTTCTTTTGGGGGGCAGTACTGAGTGGCAGTGAATACAGTGAGTAACACTAAATAAGCAGAAATAGGATAATTTGGGCAAATTAATTGAGAGGGTGGCAGCGATGCAGTTGCAGGGTTTTTTGGATGACACCTCCGCACTAGATCCCTTCCAGTCCGGCTTCCAACCAGGCCATGGGACAGAGGCGGCACTGGTCGCCCTCACAAATTACCTTCGTAGGCATCTGGATTGGAGCGGTTTGGCGGTGTTGGTGTTGTTGGACCTGTTGGCAACGTTCAACATGTTCGACCACCAACTACTGACCCACTGTCTCACTGTGTCTGGGATCCAAAGGTCTGGCTTGCAGTGACTTACCTCATTCCTTCAGAGTCAGGGACAGAGGGTGGCCATTGGGGAGCAGCTGTCCCAAAGGCACCCGCTAGTTTGCAGAGTGCCCCAGGGAGTGGTGCTTTCCCCGATGTTATTAAACATCTATATGCGTCCCCTTGTCCAGGTTGCCCGGAGGCATGGGCTAGGGTGTCACCAATATGCGGATGACACCCAGCTCTATCAGTTGTTGGGTGGCCAATCTGACTCTAACCTGGAAGATCTGGATCTGGCATTGAAAGTTGTGGCTGGTTGGCTTAGACTTAGTTGACTGAAATTGAATCCAATGAAGACAGAGGTCCTGTGCCTGAGTCAGAGTGGCCTGAGGGTAGAGATCCCACTCCTGACCTTCAATGGGGTGCCGCTGGTGCCAGCGTCAGAGGTTAGGAGTTTGGGAGTGCTCCTGGATGCCTCCTTAACAATGGAGGCCCAGGTAGCAGCCACTGCAAAATCAGCCTTTTACCACCTTCAGCTGATCAATCAGTTGGTTCCCTTCCTTGAACACAATGACCTGGCTACAGTGATCCATGCAATGGTCACCTTGATATTGGACTACTGTAATGCTCTCTACATGGGGCTGCCCTTGTCCCAAATCCGGAAGCTGCAGCTGGTGCAGAATGCGGCAGCCAGGCTGTTGTTGGGCCTCCCTATGCAGCAGCACATCCAGCCTGCACTAAAAGCACTGCATTGGCTGATTATAGCATACTGAATTCGGTTCAAGGTGCTGGTTCTTACTTTTAAAGCCCTATATGGTCAAAGACCTACATATCTAAGGGACTGCCTTTCCCCACATGTTCCCCAGAGAGCACTATGATCGGGGTCCCAAAACCACTTGGCCCTACTGGGCTCTACAGAAGCCAGGCTGGCTGCGACTAGGGCCAGGGCTTTTTCAGTGGTGGCTCCACTCTGGTGGAATGAGCTCCTGGAGGACATCAGGGCCCTGCGGGACCTCTTACAGTTTCGCAGGGCCTGCAAGATGGAGCTCTTCCACCAGGCCTTCGATTAGGGAGCCAGACCCAAGAAATTCTACCCCTGGCCCAACAGCAACAACATTGTCAACAACCAGCTAACCCAGACTATGCTATTGGCTGGCTGTAGTCTGAGGATGCTGCTAAGCCCGCCATCTGACTTAAACTAGCACTTTATATTTAAAATATTTATAATTGTACTGCTTTGTTTTTATCTAATTCTGTTTTAATTGTTTTATATTATATGTGAGCTGCCCTGAGCTTGCCTTGGCAGGGAGGGCAGGATAAAGATTAAATGAATGAATAGATAAATAAATAAAAATAAATACATAATAAAATAACAGCATTGGCTTTTTTGTTTAGGGGAATCCATCATCAACATACAGGATTCTGGAAACTGTCCACCTTTGAGATCACCATCCTCCTGTTCTACAGCTTCAGAGTTCCTGTCCAGGATAGTGTTTCAATCATCACATATACATCACACATCCACAGTATATCACCTAAAAGAAGGAAAAAAGCCAACCATCCAGGAACCACCGTAGATAAGTTTGTGATAAAAAAAACAGCAGATCAGAAAAAGATTAAATAATTGCCTACACTTCATTAGTATGGTTCTGTCCCTGAGACCAGGATACAGTCCACCCAGCAGAGCAGATGTTCCAGGGAAACTGCTGGATAAGGTGTATGACAGAGAAATGGAGCAATGTGCAAAAGCTCTGGAGGGTAAAATTGTTAACCTAAGTCCCAAGGGGCGGAGTCATGTCCACAATGATCTTGTTGTGTGTGTGTGTGTATATATATATATATATACCGTATTTTTCGGACCATAAGACGCACTTTTTCTTCCAAAAAAAGTGGGAGGAAAAGTGAGTGCATCTTATGGAGCGAATACGGTACTCTGGGACATGCCCGGAGCCGGCCACCTGGGGCTGTGCTTCTGCAGGAGGAGGACGCGGCGCTGTAGCTGGCCGGCCCTTTTGAAGGCAGCGCTGCTCCCCCCTCCCTCTCGCCAATATCTGACGACCTCTTGCCAGTGTCCCCCACAGGTCGCCCACCAGCCACCCAGAGCTCTCCCTCCTTCCTGCCGCTCGTTGAGTTCCCCCCGCTCGCCTTTTCCTCTAGGCTCAGGAAGGAGGGCTCCAGAGCAACCTGATCTTTGCAGCAGCCAAATCGCTCGCTC